CAAACAAAACAAATTATAGAGCCGTGTCGCTGTAGATGACAAGATGAGGCACAAAAAGCAACATGTTTTGAATCTTTATATTTTGTTTACGGCGAATTCCTGACAAATCAATAATGCAATGCTGCGATGTTTGGGTGTTTGGTTCGATTAACGGAATTTTTAACAGGAAGAGATATTCTTTACCACTTTTGTGTCTCGGAAAAATCTATTAGTCATTCACAAAATTTACCAAAAGCATCACTTAAAGTGTAGCAAAAATATATTCACCTGTAACAATTATACTGTTACATTGTATGCCGACGAAACTTTGTAAATCAGAAAACAAATCAAAATCAAAATTTTGTCACTGGCTTAATCCTGGCTTTACAAAACTTTTCTAGGTTCCAGGGTTTATAACACGAAATTTACAAGTGTATTAAAAATTAAAAGTTGTTATTCAGCTGGGCTAGAAAGAGCCACACCAACACTTAAACACAAAGTCCATCACCTAAAATATACTGATGAGTGAAGGAAGCTGTATAGCAACCTTTTACTAAATGAACTTACACATGGTATGTTTAACCTCTTGCACATTTTCAAACCTTTTTTTTTTCTTCAGGAGAAGGATTTGGGTTCTTTGATAATTGATAAAACAGGAAGAAATTGTTTTTTCCCCTCCAAATACAAAATAAAATAGCCTATTTATCTCTCTCATTGGTCTGTTTTGCTTAACACAATAACGTCAGGAACCACAACACACATAAGGCTATTTCGAAGTTGTTAAACATGCACAGTTTAAGGATAGAATAATTCGAAAAAGGGTTTCTTCAACGCTCTCCATAATAAAATAAAATAAAAACTCGGAGGAAGTTTAGAATAACTACGCTCTTTAACAATCGGAAGCAATGCCTCCATGGCAAAGTGAAGGCTATAGTTACGAAAGAGAATCCTCAGACCCAAAAAGTATTATCAGTAAAGCTAAGTAAATATTCTGATACGATTAACAAGATAATTAAAAAAAAGGTTTAAAGCTAACGAAGGCACATAAGTTAAACGTGTAAAAAGTTTCAGTCACTCTTCGAAATCAACGGCTTTTTCAACATGGAAAAATCTGGAATCACAACATTCCCATTCCACCTATCAAGTCTTACTGATGCACTTCTGGCCTATCTATGTTAGCCATCCCTGATTTTGAACTGATAGACGATAAAAATAGCTAGTCGACAGCACCTATCGCTAGCTTTTACGTTATCCTAATCGAATAGAATTGACCGTCACTCTTATGATGCACCCGTTTTCAAAGTGCGGGGTACGATTTCATAGGACGCGAACCATGGACCCTAAAATTCGCAGTCCTTCACATTAACCACTCTGTCACTCCAGAACCACAGTGAAAAACCTATGGAAAAAGTTTCAAGATGTGTTTCTTCATTGAAGCTTGTTGCAATGAATATTGAGGTGTTGAACAATAGTGCGTAATTATGGCTATCAGACTGATCACAGCTGATGAGCTGATAAATAGTTCCAAAGGCAGAATGGGACATTGAACATCGTTCTTGTTAAGTGCGATCAACCTAATAGAAAAGACTAGTGTTTTCATGAACATATAGGAAACACTTACCATTCGTAGCAAAATTGCACCTGCAACCTCTTCATAATCATTTATTGTTGAGAAAACGCTAAGCACCAAGCACAAGAACACCATTAAAAACCTGTTAAAGAAAGGTAAAGATATTTCAACATCGACAAATAGATTATAAATATTTCAGAGCAACTGACTTTATCTTTACTGTTTAAGCTATATAAACATTAGAATACTTCACAACATAACAAAACATGTAGAGCTTTATAAATGTCCATTACTAAATTCTCCATTTACCAATGGATTTACCATTTACCCCTGATGAAGGAAATCCCACTTTCCGAAAGCGCACTGGTTAATGGGATTCGTTTCCGACGATAAGTTGTTTTTTCTTCTGCTGATCCTGCATGCTTTGAAGTATCGTGACTGTATTCTCTGATATGTTTGTGCAAGTGTGTTTAGTTTGTCATAGAAGATGATGGAAACCCATAGGAATGTTTCGTTCGTATAATACGAGTCGATGTGTTATAGCATGTAATAATTATTAAGTATGTTATTGTAATTCAATATGGTGCACATAAAAACATAATATCGCGTGTCGATGTGTTAAATTATTTGATTTGTTTTTGTTTACACATAGACACGCAGATTTACTGCAGATGTTGTAGGAGTTTTACAATGTACTTAGCAGATTTCAAGAAGAATTTGTGTTTATCAAAATGAATGTTTCGAAGTTATGAAAAATAAGACCATTCAGAGGGTTGTGTTTGTGAGTCGCAAAAAATAGCATATTGTTGTAACGTCATTTTCTATTAGCATGTAATTTCGAATTATCTGATTTGAATATTTCAATGTCCAATTCATATAAAAAATTAGTTTATTTCCTCCATTCACGTTTCTACAAGCTTAAACACTGTGATAACTTGTAAGCCATGTTTATAGCCACGATAACTGTAGTATACTAACGTAAAAAAACTCAACTTACATGTACAAAGCAACTCAATATGCGCGATAGCTGACAGGTTCAACTACTTCACTGACAACAAAAATCTGGCTGAAACGATAAAACATGGACTGATTCACTCTGTAGATTAGAAATAACTGTATTCTGAAACAGCTCTCTGTACCTCTTATCTATAATCTACCCTCGAATTTATTAATAAAACTTGTTCTCAAATTTTTAGAACTTTCTAGGTGTTCTAGGCCTATCTTATTTATTTTCTTTTACCTTAGCGTCATCATTACGACCCGCAGCTCCCTCTAGCTAACAAAAAGTTACAACATTTACAAATATAGCTTATAACAATATAATAAAAACCTTACGTAATTAATCGATCCAATTCAGACGTTTTTTTTCCCGAAATTAAAACAAACTAAAAACAAACTCAACACTTTCGTAAACAAATGTACATACACATACACATACTAATTTACAAAAAAAAAATACTGAATAACTACAATTACAATTCATGTATTAATGTTTTTGTTTTTGGAAACTCAAAATAGAAGTGATATAAATACTAAACATCATCCTTAAATGTTAACATATACTAGTCATTACGCTGACATGGTCTTGTCCACTTCCTGGTGTTATAATTCATCTGATGTTGTGTTATTTTTGTTGGTTAGTTGGCTGAACTGCAAATAACGCAATATTTCGGACTGTTAATTACTTTTGAAATTTATTCATTGTAATGTCTTATATTACTGACATTTATGGTACCACTAGATGGGTAACTATACTAGCCAGGGTCATTGAGTAGTAGGTATAATCCCACACTCTGATTAAAATGATTTTTTATGCAAATAAATTCTTTGTTTTATTGCCTGGTCACATTGATGAGAGTTGAATTGTAAGAAAATATTATTCTGATTTCCTATATGATGTTTTTTGAAAATTAACTCTTAATCTTGGATTTTACGTTTTACCCGTGTAAAGGTAATTGCAAATGGAACAAGCCAAAATATAAATAAATATTTTTTTCTCATTTTAAGTAACATTAAAATTCAAACAAAATAAAGTAGTACCATGTGGTTTTATAATAAGTTTACTTTCAGGCAATCAATTTTATTTACACGATAATCCCCCCCCCTTCTCTCTCTTTTTTTTTTAACAGATATAATCCCTTTTTATTTAGTTCGTATTTGGTATTTTCAGCCGAAACGCACATGGGCTAAACGACCAGGTTAGTGGCCTCTAGGGTTCACGTATACTCGTCACTAACTTTGCACTACTGACCAGAGGGAAGACCATTCGAAAAAACCCAGTTTAACAAGCATAACGAAGTCGATTGTGACTCTCAAAACGCACTCAGTGTGGAAAGGTCGGAGCGTGTTCAGCGATTTCGTGGTGGCGCGAACCTTAGACTTTTTGACACTCAGCCAGACACGCTAACAACTAAGCCATGCCCGACCTTTCAATTAATGTTTGGACTTGATAATTTATATAAATTATTTAGTTAATGTTTTAAAAAAATTAAAAGACTCAAGTATGATTTTAAGGCCAATTAAACTTCAACTGGTTGAGAACAATTCGCCGAGGTAATCCACTCTTGTTTGATGGCAAGCATTTTTGTAAAACGTCCCCTATAAAATTGTTTAGAAAAATTTAAATTAACATGATTTATTGATATAAAAACTGAATAGAGAAGAAGCTAAATTCGGGTTATTAAGAAATTCCCAATATGCTTGTCTTTCAGACATATAAACGCAAAATTATCAAACTATTCACAATAGCGCCTAAGAAGTAGAAAGATTGTTTGTTTGTTATGGATTTCGCGCAAAGCTACACGAGGGCTGTCTACGCTAGCCGTCCCTAATTTAGCAGTGTAAGACTAGAAGGAAGGCAGCTAGTCATCACCACCCACCGCCAACTCTTGGGCTACTTTTTACCAACGAGTAGTGGGATTGAGCGTCAGATTATAACGCCCCGACGGCTGAAAGGGCGAGAATGTTTGGTGTGATGAGGATTCGAACCCGCGACTCGCAGATTGCGAGTCGAGCGCCCTAACCATCTGGCCATGCCAGGCCAAGAAGTAGAAAACCCCCTACAAACAGCTGGAACGCAGACTCGTGTAAAAATTACGTTATTAAAGTGCTTGTTTGTTTGAAGTTAAACACAAAGCTACACAATTAGTCATCTGTGCTCTGCCCCCCATGGGTATCGAAACCCGGTTTCTAGCGTTGTAAGTCTGCAGACGTAGCGCTGTGCCACTGGGAGGCTAATGTTCTAAGAACATTTTTAAAATTTTGAAGTGAGCTAAATTTAGCAAGCAGGCTACAACCATCATAAAGTCAACCACGATATATATTTTTTCATCAAGTTTTACTACTCTTGAATGTTTATCGCGACATTAGTTATATCATTCAAACTTTGCTCCAATGATGTTTCATCATTTTACGTATTTAATCATTAAATTCATCTCACAATAAAACGTCGATATTAGCAGGCTGTGTTCTAATTTGGTAAGAAGACTGGAGGGATATTTAGCATTCTTAGTCACTCTTTTTCTTCTACCCCATAGAAACCACCCTTCTACCAGAATCTTTAACGGAGATGCTAAAGAAACAGTTAAAGCTGTTTGGAAGTCATTTGTTGGAATATTATCTGTTATTTAAAGTCACGTAGATCTGCCCCCCCCCCCAGTGGCACAGCGGTATGTCTGCGGACTTGCAACGCTAGAAACCGGATTTCAATATCAACACTCGTGGTGAGAATAGCACAAGATAGCTCATTGCGTAGCTTTATGCTTAACTCCAAACAAGCACGCGGATCTTCATTAGTAAGTGAATTGTGATGACGTGCACCAGCTTAATAGAATGTAGAAGCAGTAGACAATAAATTATGACTAATGTAGATCACGTGATCAGCTATTTAATGTGTTTGTATGTTTTCATTTGTTTAACCGGTTTTTGCAATTAAGATGAGGGACTTAGTTTGAATCTAATTATGAGTGTAAAATTATGAAGTTTTCTTCAAACAAATCGGAGAAGTTGTACTGATGACAATTAAAACACTGTCGAGCGCATTAAATAGTGCTTTAAATATATATATACATATATTTATAGCTCTAACTTAACACAGAAAATGATGTTTCAGACACATAGAGGAACGAGTTACGTAAACTAAATGATAAATATATTATACAAGTGGTTTATCTGCTTGCAGGAGAGCCCGTATATTACACAGTATAAACACTGGAGAACAGCCTGTCTAAATAGGCTGATTAGACAGGCTGTGTTTGATAGACTCCAGTGCTGCAATAGTCTGTTACTAGCCCTTTGTTTAGGCTTTCAACAGGAAAATGAGGCTGCCATCACCTGTTCCCGCCTTGAGGTTAGCCAGAGCACTCTTCCTTTTCCTATTAATTAAGCAATACCAAAACTGTTACGTAATGCAGTATAAACACAATGTTGGAAGTGCTGGACAGAAAAGGTTATATAGATAATAGTAACACTGTAGAAACTGTACTGGATATGGTATTTTTAGTTTTGAAGACAGTGTGCACAATGTCTTGCTGTTGCCTGAAAGAGTTTGTTTGTTTGTTTTTAATTACGCACAAAGTTACACAAGGGCTATTTGTGCTCTGCCCACCACGGGTATCGAAACCCGGTTTCTAGCGTTGTAAGTCCGCAGACATACCGCTGTGCCACTGGGGGGGGGGGGGCGCATGAAAGAGCCCAATATCATGTTCCCTCAGTTGAAAAAAAAAGGTTGGTTTTTATTTTTCCACTTCTTTTTGACATTTAAGATTGGATGTAACTTGAACTAGTTTTTTTTTATTTATTTATAAATGCGTTTCTAGTCTTGTGTGAAACAAAATATTTGCGCATAATGTAAACGTTCTTAATAATTATATCAACATTACAATATAAAATCACGTTTATAATTTCACTTATAAATTCCGAATGGTCCATCGTTCCAAAACAAGTTTACTTCTCGAGATCTATAACATTAGCAGTACATTATATTTTGATTTTGTTGGAATGATGGGTTTACTGTATAGTCCTAAGGAACTATAGTCTTTCTTCAGATGAGTTCCATCTCTTTCATATTCCTACCAGTCTCTTCTTTATGTTATCCATCCAAATAATTTTCCTCCTGTCAACTTTAAGATCAAATAATGATAT